CTTTGCAGATTGTCCTTGTAAACTTACTGTTTATTTTCTTTACCTTTGCCCAACATTTTAAATTATGGAGAAAATATGCCCTTAAATGATTAAAATATTAGTTTCTAGGGTCAAGGATTCCAGAAAAAAAAGGGACAAGAGAAGTATTGGTCATAAGACTTCATAATCTGTAATCTTCCTTCAGATTTATGGGACCCAGACCATCTGGTGACCTTCAGATAATATCAGGATGTGCCTCAGAAATGGACCACTGCCTGATTAATGCGTGCCCTGGCACTGATTCATCAGTGACTAAATTCCACTGCCATAAAAGTTCTGAAATACGGTTCTGGAGAGATGGCTCGGCAGTTAAGAGCATTTGCTGAAGAGGGACCCAGGTTTGATTCCCACTACCCATATAGCACTTCAAAACCTTCTGTAACCACAGTTCCAGGGATTCTAATGTCCTTCTGTGGTCTCTGCAGTCACTGCATGTATGTGGTACACACCTACACATACAAGAAATACTCATACATATGAAATAACAACCAGCAATTTAAAGTTCTTACATAAGATCTTCACGTGAATTTGTTAGCATGGGTGTTCCTTAAGATGATCATGCAGCCAGGTCTGATCACTTAGCTCATTACACTAAAGTCTATTCTGTACCACCACTATGCCTTTCCAATAACTGGCCTCTATGATTTAGTGAGATGACTCAGCTATTGTGAGATAACAAAAGCACCATTTGATTTGTATGAAAATGTCCTCCAGGCAGGTTTCTACCACCTTTCCTGGAATCCAGATAGTCTCAAAGGAAAGTATTTGCTCCAGGGTGGCTTTCATTGCTGTGCTCTAGTGCATTATACAGCTACTTTGTATACCAGGAACTCACTAAAGACCCAGAATAACCAACCGCAGCCTGAGATGTGGGTAGCTGAGGTTGGAGTGGAGGAGATAGCATCAGACTATCTGGTTCAAGGAGATTATATTTAATGACTATTTGCTCTGCGCTATGTCCTGGGTGTGCTAGGGAGCAAGAGACAGGATTCTTTGAGAAGCGCACTGATTTACAGAGAAAGTAGATGCCTAAAATAATTTCGACACATAACAACAACAATAATAATGAAAGTTTAAGGTGCTTGGTGCGTTAGAAGTGCCAGGAAAGAACACTTAACAACTTGGTTTGGTGACTGTTAGGGATATCCTCTGGGACTGACTGAATGGGATTTTGCTGAACAGAAGGGGTGAGGACCTTCTAGGCAGATGCAGGGGCTTGAACAAAGACATATTATACAGGGAGAAATAAATAAAAAATACAAGGAAGTATAATCAGGACTGGCTATTGTGTGGTGGTGAATAACACCTGTGTGCTCAAAGTACTCAGCCTTAAACAGAACATCCATAACACCCCATCCAGTAGTCAGTGATCATCCAAGAAAAGGGGTCAGAAAGAACATAAAAGCTGGAAGAGAATGGTGCTAGAGAGATGGCTCAGAAGTTAAGAGAAGTTGCTTTTCTTCGAGAGGACCTGAATTTAGTTCTCTGCACCCATGTTGTCAGGTGACTCAAAGCTGACTGTAAATTCCACTTCAGAGAATCCAAATCCTCCTCTGCCCTCTGTGGGCACCAGCACACACATAGGAGAGAGAGAGAGAGAGAGAGAGAGAGAGAGAGAGAGAGAGAGAGAGAGAGAGAGAGAGAGAGAGAGAGAGAGAGAAAGGGAGCATGAGAGACAGATATGGATGGAGAGACAGAGACACAGAGCAAGACAGAGATGAAAATAATAAAATAAACCTTCCAGCTTGGTCTACAGAGTAAGTTCCAGGACAGCCAGGGCTACACAGAAAAACTCTGTTTCAAAAATGAGAAGAATGTTTGTGAAAACTTCTGGGCAGGGCAAAGTCAATTTCAGGCATGACTTCACAACCTCTGTGCTTATATGCTCTAGGTCTACATAGTAGTAGGTCTGTCAACAGTTGCTCATAGACCAGGGAATGTCCTCCCTTTCCCTGATAAACTCTTGGCTACTGATGGATTCCGGTGAAGGGAAGTCATTGTCTTCACTCAATGATGAGCTCATAAGGCCCCAGTGGATAGTTCCATGCCAAAGGTAACACGGATGATCCTGGATAAACTCCATGGTTCTCAAAAACGAAAAAGGAACATTTGGAATGAAAAAAAAAACGTGGAGGAAAGAAGGATGATTAATAGAGGTAGAAGTGAGACTGGAGAAGGTGGAGAGTTTTAGTAATCAGAATGCATTTTTATGTCTGTTTGAAATTGTCAGAGAGCAAATTTAATACAAATTTTAAAAATGAATGGCCACTGTAATAAACTACAATATGTTCAGAGTATGCAACATACACATCATTTATATCTGTACTAGGTTCATATGCAATGTGCGGATTTTCAGGACATATTATTGGGTTAAAATATTTCTTTTTGAACTTCCTTTTTATTTATTCCTTGTGTCTTCCACACCATGACTCTCAATCCCATTCATTTCCTTGTACCTTTGCATCTGCCCTCTGCCCTTTGCAACCTCCGCACCCCTAAAAATAAAATAAAATTTAAGAGAAATAAAAAAGAAAAATCTCGTCATGGAAGCTGTAGCGTGACACAGTGAGTCACACAGTATACCCTTTTGTCCATATATGTTTAGGCAAAGAGTCATTCATTGGTCTGCTTCAAGGCCTCTGGTTTCTGCTACACTGTCAATGCCGAGCCCTCACTGGGGCTCCTCTTGGATATCCTGTTGCTGCTCAGTGTTGGGTCTCCAGGATCAGCACCTTCACATACTCTGGCAGATCATAGCTAGGGTGGATGTTGGCATGGGCCAACTCATAACTCTAGTTCTGGGTCTGGGTAGTTGCAGGGTTGGTGAGCCTGCTAGTTCTACCCTGTCCTCGCCTCTAAGATATGTTCTCCAGCATTGCCCTGGCTAGTTCAAGCCTAACAGTGATGAGGGAATGGCAGGGCCATTTTTCGTGCTTTCCCTCGGGGTCAGCTCATCCACACCTACACCTTCAGGCAAGGTATGGGGACCACTCTCCCAAGTGCTGCAACTGGTGAATGGCAGGGACAGCTCTCCCACCTGCCACAGTCCCTGAGGGGCATCTCTCCTCTCCCACACCATCATAAGGCAGATGAGGGGCGGGACCAGATCTCTCAAGCTCACCTTTCCACTGCCCCCTACCCCCCCCCGTGCACCCCCCACACACTAAGGTCATTTCTACCGTGCTGTCCATAAAAAATGTTTCAATGGATGAAATACAGGATGTGGCATTTTTAATGCAGTGTCAGTTAGATCCTATTAATATACATTTATATGTATGCATGTTATATACACATATACAATGCCATCTATGATTGCGTTTTGTATATGGAAAATAGTATACATGTGTGCTTATTTTCTATAGGATTTTCATTGCTTCTCATGTGGATTAACTTATTTGACCATTTTCCAATAGATAAACTGAGGTGTTTCTTTTGTGAATATATAACATATTTCCAATATTTTATTTCAGTTTTACATGTATTAATACAATATTTTTAATATTTGTTATTCACATTTTTGAGACATTTTTGAGACAAGACCTCACTGTGTAGCTCTGGTTGACGCAGAACTCACTATGTAGAGCAGAGCAGTCTTGAACTTACGGAGAACTGCCTGCCTACTGTTTTCCATATACTATTAAAGACAGGAATGTACCAGTTTGTATTTTGTTGGGAGACTTTGTTTTGATTTATTTTTCACATAGAGTCTCACTCATACTGGCCTAGAACTCACTGTGTAGCCCAGTCTGGCCCCCATCTTGAGGCAACCCTCTTCCTCAACTTCCCAAGAGTTGGGATTTCAGGCTTCATTTACTATCACATGGGCATTAACGTCTATCTTCCTCTTTACTTTACACCTGTTAACTGAATAGATGAGGCAATTATGCAAGAAGCCCCTGAGAGAAAACACACTCTAAGGTCGATAAGGCGATTGAGATTACAGTTAACCTTGGTTATGTGGAAAGGGAGTTTCTACTCTAATCACACAGCATCTTACAAATCTGACTTCCTATCCCAGGTCTCTGTGACCTCATGCTTGAGTACAGGAAGGAACAAGAGACTTTAAGAGAAAAAAAAATCATGGAATGAGCCATTTTGCCTAGCATCTTAAAAAAATTATGCATTCTTTTACTGTATCAAAGCCTTAACAGCCTTGTGACTATATACACTTGGGTGTGTTTAATAGTAAAGCTGGAGGAAAGAATATTCTCCATAGATACAGAGGAGGCACACTACAGTTGTGGCTCACTAGGGATTACAAACCTGGTATTCCACCGTGAGGATATTTGCAGAATATGGTCCAGTGGAAACATCAGGATCTAGCAGCAAGGGCAGCTAGGCCTGGTAGGTATGGCAATGCATATGAGCACAGCAGAGCATGAACAGACTATGGCACTCACTTGGAATCTCACAGGAATCTTGGGTGAGCACAAGAGAGATTTCTTTAGTTCTTATTCTCCTGTGCTCCAAAGGATTCTCTAGAGATTGGAAGGACCTACAGAAAAAAAAGAGTTCAAAGGATCTTTTCCTCTTAGTTTCCCAGCAGCTCTGGAAGGTGGTTTTTTTTTTTTTTGTTTGTTTGTTTTTTTTTTTTTGTTTTTTTTTTTACTAGTATTTAACTTGGAAAATGTTTTTCCTACTGATAGTAAAGAGCTCATTTATATTTCTGCCTAAGAGATTCAGAAGAGGGGCTAGGGAGATGGCTCGCTGGTTAAGAGCATGTGTTGCTTTTCCAGAGGACTTGGGTTCAAATCCCAGCACCACATGGGGGCTCACAACCATCTGAAACTCCAGTTCCAGAGGCTCGGATATCTTCTTCTGACCTCCACAGGCACTACGCATACACCTGGTGTAGGCAAAACACCCATACACATAAAATAAAATAAAAAAATCTTAGAAAAAGATTCAGAAGAAACATAGTATTAACTTTTAAGTTCTGATAAATATTTATTAAGGATCACATTGTCTTTATAAGCTGACTAGCAAGTTTTGTTTTTTTAGAATTGCTTCACATTTTCACTACATTGTTTGTTAAGCAACATAAATAAAATGTATTCATCATGAAAAGTGAGACTATAGATAAAGCAAAATTTAAAAAATATAAAAATCACCTATTATCCTTTACCACAGAGATAACCAATGTCAGTTAGCCTTTAAGTATATAGTTTTAAGCTTTTCTTTGCATATTAATATATAAATGTGTTTTCCTTTTACAAAAATGGGATGCTATTTATGTATATACCTTTTGCTTTTATCACCTCACATATATAATGTTTCTCTTTCCATGCAAATGGATCGGACTCGGATTTTAGAACGTTAAAGAAAAAAACAATAAAAGGAATCCTGTGCCAGTTACAAGTCAAATACCTGAAATAAAACTGCACAAAAAATTACAACTAAGAAAGAAAAAGGCATGTAAGAAGATGAGTTCAGGGAGCAATACTCTTATCAAGCAAAACAAAGAAAGGTGGAACACATTAAATAGGGTAAGGGCGGTTCCGTTTTGCCTTCCAATGCATTATCATCAGTTTATTTCGTACTCGCTTCATCTCTTCCAACTCATCGCTGCCTGTATCATTTCTTCATTGCTTAAATTTCTGCCATGGATGACTCCTCTGAACCGAGGGCAGAAACGGGCCAGCCTTTCTTTGAAACTTCCCTCCTCTAGCTTGTGTTCGCCCAACCCACAGGGAGGTTGCTCCATGGCTGGATGGCCCTCGAATAGGTTCTTGTGCGAGAGGCACTCCTGCGGAGGACGATCTTCCGACAGCAGCACCTCTGGCAGCAGCTCTTCAGGAAAGAACTCCTCAACTGAGGACTCCTCCTCGGAGGACAGATCCTCTGAGGACTGCTCCTCCTCGGAGAACTGATTTTCAGGAGGCTGCTCTTCCTCGGTCTGAGTGCTCTGTGTTAGTTCTTCATATTCTTTGCCCGAGTTTTCCATGCTGAGAATTTTCTTCTTCAAGCAGCTGTTCTTGAGACAAGAAAAAGCAGACCAGAGTCACAATACTTGGTGGGCTGCATAAACACCCTGGCTCCGAGTTTCAATCCCTGCCTTTGCCCGATTGAGCGGGTGGTTTTAAACCTTAGCTTACTCCCAGACTCTTAGGCTCTCCCGCCTGCGGCTGCGGAGCAGCCCCCCTTCCCGAAAGACCACCATTTTTCCCGGCAGGCCTTGCCACAAGGCCTCTCCTGCAGTAACCGGGGCTGAGCGGTGAGGTCTGCGAACTGTTCCCCTCCGAGTTCGGTCTCAGACCGCCCCCCCCCCCCCAATCCTGTCCCACTGCCCAACCTTACCCCGACTCCGGCCCGTGTGGCCCCTTTTGAGGAGCCTGCGTGAGACCCGAAAATCTACAAATAGACGCCAGACAGAGTACGGGGCGGGGATAGGGGGAGAAGCGGACCCGGTGACGCACACCCCTTTTTGTGGGGGATCAGCTAACCCAGAGACAGATCCCTTGGGGTTCACCTTCCTCAGACCTCACATAGAACATCATCCTTTGTACCCCACCCCACTCCCAAGACCACCATTTTCTGCACCGAAATTGTGAGGGGGGAGGGGGAGGGGGCGGGGCTGGAGGTTAGTGGAAGCTCGGATTCTGCCGTGCAGGTACGATCCCGCTGGTTACAAGTCACCTCTGACAATCACCAAATCTAGAGGATCCAGGGAACTTACTTACTTCTGCTTTCCTTCTCGACCAAAGGGTAATAGAAAGACGGTGTCTGGACAGGCAAAAATGACTGGGACGAGAGGGACTTGGGCAGATGTAGGCTCCTGGTCACATGAGGGGCGTGCATCACTCCCAGGCTCAGATCCCTAGTAACCACTTTGGCGACCATTTGGCACCATTTGCCAGAATCTTTTGACCTCAGACACAACGGACATTTTCACTTACACCCCCCCCCCCCTTTATTTGCCTTTTCTTGGTTGCTAGAGAGGACTGGCATCTTGTTCCCCAGGGTTACCTCTTTCCCACTGCATCGCCAAAGCTATGTCTCAGTCTCACTTTCCACTCAGCTACTGAGACTTCAGGTGTCCCCTTTCCTTTAGACCCTGCACTGAAATGTCACTGTTCCACCCCCATAAACCAAGTTAACGTGGTCAGTATCGGCAACATGACAGATGCCTGTAATCCCAGCACTCGGGGTACAGAGACAATAGAATTGCCTCAAATGAGAGGGCAACCTGTTCTCTCTCCATAGCCAGTACCAGGTCACTCTGAACTACACAGCAAAATTCTGGCAGCAAAACAAAACAAAACTTTTCAAGGGCACAGGACAGATGGCTGAGCACGTAAGAGTACTTGTCCTTGCAGAGGAACTGTGTGTGATTCCTAGCGCCCACGCAGGAGCTCACAACCCCCCATAACTGTTTCTAGGTATCCTACCCCCAACGACAGCAGGCACACGCATAGTGCACAGACACACATCCAGTAAAACTCACACATAAGGTAAATGAATCTGAAAAAATACCCCTCAAATACTGATTTTTGTGCTTAACCTACATCCCCATTACATCACCTTTCTAATATCCTGTCATTTCCATGATAGTTAATCTTTCATTTTTCTTTCCAACTCTTTTTTTTTGTTTTTGAGCCCGTCAACTATGTCATAAATAGAGAGTCTAGGATAAATTAGTCAGCATCCAATTCTACACCTCTTAAGTGTATAAAGTATGTAAATCTAATGACTGTACTTTGATATACATCAAAACACGCATGTGTCCATCTACAATAGTCAAGAGAACTTTTTTGTTCTGTGAAGTGGGAGAGCACTTAGTGCACAATGTGTTATTATTCTCCCCTCCGTATAAATCACCATCATTTCATAGTGGAAGAAATAGATTTCACAGAAACCCTAAACTCTTAATAATGAACTTTCGGTCTTGTGGTTGAAAAGGCTGACATTAATTTGTTAAACCAACAAATATTTGGGTCTTGAGGTAGCCGAACCCCAAAAGATAGATGCAACAGATAAGACATTGTGTATTAAACTATGTAATAACTCAGCTGACCACATAATAGCAGGATTAAAATCATGTATACATAGTTTGTTGTTGTCACAAATGGTACATGTTTTGGCCTGTACCTTTTTATGATCTTTAACCTGAAGCCTACTTCTCACCTATCTAAAAAGCATGAATGCCACTTCCTTATGCAGATTTTTCTTCCAGAGAGGGAACTCTTTTTTTTTCTGTTTTATACTTCCAGGGTAACTAGGCATCAGATCTGTGAGAGTTCTGAAATCTACTTTTTTTCTAAACCTAAGCAGTTTTGAGATCTTTCTGAACATAAATTCATATTTGAAATATCAGATTTGTGAGGATTTTGAAATTTATTCTTTGTCAAAACATTGGCTATTTACTATGTTTCTGAACAGAAATTCACATGTGAAATATCCAGTTTTATTAACTTTTTATTGCTTTACTGTGGACTTAGTTTGTATTGAAATACAAGTTAATTTACTTGTATAGTTTATCCAAAATTTTTGGATTTTCCATTTTTTTTCTGTGCTGTGTGTCTTTAAAATCAAGTTCACCTGTGCTTTCTTTAGTCTATCATGAAGGGTTTATTTTTCATTTGTGTGGTTTCTTTTTTAGAGAATTCCAAATTCATTAATGTTTTCATTCCTGTCATTATTCTCTTTACATCCTGTGAACAATGTACAGTGGCTAAGACATTCCATTTAGTTTTTGACATTCAAAGTTTATACAGAAACTGATTATTTACACTTGTCTTCAGTTGAAATCTCACTCTCTATTGTTTACATACATTGGCACTTGCTCTGTCCTGTGGGATGTTACAAAAATGCATAAAGTAACAAATACCTGTTAGCCTTGGTAAGAACCCTTGATACCATGTAAACTGCTAGAATTTTTTGTTTGGTTATTTCCCTTTCCCATCTGTGAGATACAGTGATGCTGTGGGATAATGTTCTTGTTCACTGTAAAGATTTGTCACTCATATTGGTTTAATGAAATGCTGATTGGACAGTAACCAGGCAGGAAGTATAGGCAGGGTGACCAGACTAGGAGAATTCTGGGAAGAAGAAAGGCAGAGATGCAGTCACCAGCCAGATGTAGAGGAAGCAAGATGAGAATGCTGCACTGAGAAAAGGTACTAAGCCAGATGGCTGAATTTAAGTCCTAAGAGCTAGTTAATAATGAGCCTGAGCTAATAGGCCAAATAGTTTATATATATGCCTTTGTGTGTTTCTTCGGGACTGAATGGTTGCGGGACCAGGTGGGGCAGAAACTTCCATCTGCATAGTGAGTAATCTTTAGTAGATTTTTCAGTGACTTAACTTCTTTATGAAAAAATTGTATAAAATAATAGTACCTACCCTGTAGGATCAATAAGAGGAGTAAACAAGTCAACGAGATAGTATATAGTGATTAGCATATGGAAAGTGTTCTGTAAGTTAACTCTAATGTAGTAGGTGTAGTTAAGGTAGCATGGCATAGTATTATCAATACTCTAAGTCTTCTTTTACTTTAAGTATTGCTAACCAGTTGTGGTCATGCATCTCTTTAATCTCAGCACTCAGGAGGTACATGTAGAGGCAGACACAGAGGCAGTCATCCCTCTTTGAGTTTGAGACCAGTCTAGTCTACATAGAGGATTCTGAATCAGCTGGATCTACATAAGGAGACATAGTCCAAAAGAGAAGGGAAGAAGTGGTGGTGGGCAAGAACTTACTATAAATATTTTAACCAAATGAAATGCTGAATAAACTCCCTTCGTTCACTTGCTTTAAAAGTCACTGTATTTCTCCTGCTTTTGTGTTTTCTCAGGGTTGGCTCTCCCACTTTTACATCTTCAGGGTCAGCTCTACTGTGTTATCCAGGCGAGGTGTAGTGGTCAGTCTCTCAAGTGCTGCAGCTGGTGAGGGACAGGGACAGCTCTCCTGCTTTTATGACCTCAGGGCCAATTTCCCAACTGCCATAGGCAGCAAGGGATGGGGAGATGGAAGATTACTCTCATTTGCCCGTGCTACCATATGGCAGATGAGGGATGGGACCAGATCTCCCAGGCTCACATTCTTAGGGTTGTTCCCCTGCACCCTTGTCAAAAAGGTCAGGTCTACTGTGCTGCCGAGAAAAATTACAGGGCACACTTTCTGGAGTGCTGCAGCTGGAGAGAGGGAGGATCAGCTCCCTTATCTGCTGTAGGTGGTAGGGGCAAGGGACAAGAGATCTAGCAGGCTGGCCAACCCTATAGCTACCCAGGCTCAGAACCAGGGTTATGAGATGATCCACCCTAATATCCACCCCATCTATGATCTGCTGGAGCGTATGAAGGTGCCGGTCCTGGAGACCCAAAGCTGCAGGATCTTCATGACACAGGGCAACAACAGGGCATCCAAGAGGAGCCCCAGTGAGCAACCAGTATTTAAGGTATAGCTGAAACCAGAGACCTTGGACCAGAGAAATGACTCTTTGCAATGAACATCCGCAAGTAAAAATGTATGGACAGAAGGATAAACTCTGTCACACTACAGCTTCCACGATGAGATTTCTCTCTCTCTCTTTATTTCTTTCAAATTTTATTTTATTTTTTGGGGGAGGAGGTTGCAAGAGCAGAAGGCAGATATGAAGGGATGGGGAGATGAATGGAATCAAGATGCCTGATGTGAAAGACACAAAGACTAAATAAAAAGAAAGTTTAAAAAAAAGGAAATTCTTCCAATGTCTGATGATTTCTGGACTCCCATTAGAGAAAAATAGCGGTTCATTTAACACCCTTGAAAATAAAGTCACTACATTTGAAGGTCACACTGCCAAATAATATGAGTCTCCCACTAGCATTGCTGTAGATAATAATCTGATGTGTGCATTTTGCTTAAGTTACTTTTCAGGGACATGAAGTCCACTTTCGCTGAAAGTACTCATTCTTCATTTGAGGCTACAAATTGTGACAAAAACAAGGTTTTAGAAAAGCTTGTCACTTCTGTGTTCACGCTATTTTTGCTAGCTTAACTTTTGGGTCTGATTTCTGTTCAACTCAGCACATAGTCATGTTAGCTGCACAAGAAATGCACGGAAACTTCTCCTTCTGAAGCCGAAAATGACAAGACAAAGGCAACCAAAAATATTTCCAAGGTTCACAGAAGCATCACAATTCCATGCTTCTGTGTGTACCAACATCTAGGTTTCACAATACTCCATTTCAGACCACTGGAGGGGTGCCTTAATCTACAGTCATTTATTTCTCCTTTCCTGAGGATAAAAAAGACCTTGAAACCTGGACTGAGTTGAAATGTTTTTCCCCTGGGAGGTCCTAGTCTTTTCTCATTTTGTTGGTATTACAAATAAATCATTTTTTCTTGGCCTAACAACTTGTTCTCATTTCTTTGATTCCCTTTTCAGCCATGAGTAAATGGACTTGGATTGAGTAACAGTACTACTTGGCTTAATCTCAAAGTGATACTTTATGTACTATTTATACAAATATAGTCCCTCTGAGGCCTCATTTTTAGGGTTAACTTCCCCAAATTAATTATTTCAGCTATTTCTGAATTGGCATTTATGTTGAAGGGTACTCCCTACAGGTTCCTGAGTTGCTGAGCTTGTTGAAAAATTCTAGCAGGGACCCTCAGCTATTCATGGACTCCTGACTAAAGAACAGTTGCTTCCTCCATTAGGGAAGGTTGCTCTCTTCCACCGAATATACTGCCTCAGGAAGGAGTCCTCACGGAGTGGTGAGGGAGTAAGGAGACACCTACCTAAGCCAGCCAGATCAACTGAATCAATCCAGATG